TACAAGAAATGGCAGTCTCTCCAGGAGAACCTGACACCGATTTGTTGTGGCGTAATTGCTGGAAGCCTCTATTACAGGTGTGCGACTTTTTTTTCTGCCTTTTAAAATTTTTTTCTATTATTAGAAGCTGAATCTGTTCACTTCCTCCATAGTCTAGAGCTGGAAGAGTAATTTCTATACTCCTCAGTTTATAAAAAGCCTAATGATTTACGTCCTTTAGAGGTATTATTATTACTCGGGCTTATTTACTTGCAATGCTTGGATATTTGCCTAAGGTAAACTGGCAGTGCCTTCAGTTAATTTACTTTTACCTATCTTCACTTTTGGCATTTTGAAATTTTTTAATTTCAACACCATTAGCAACCCGATGTTCATGCTTTCCTAGGAATCGAGCGCTATTTAGACTAACATTTTTAAGTATAGAATTGGTCAACAGAACAAACGAGGAGAGTAATCACCTTCAGTATTTCTTTCTGAAGTATCTCTGGGGTGAACCTTATCCGTAAGATAATTGAGGAAAATTTACTGACATCTTCCGTGACTAAGAAAGTGAATGCAAGGTTTAACTTTTTATAAACATCACAGATTGTAGCCAAGAAATTCCTTCTAAATAATTAACTATTAGAAACTAATTGAGTATTTGATACATGCACTATATATCTGATTATTAGATACTTATATATATGTTCTGTAATTTATTTAAACACTCAATTATTTGTATAGTAGACGGTACTTTGTCTTTTGTTTTATTCTCTTTTAACATTTACGCGAAAATTCGTATAGCTGGAGTTACCTTTAACAAAGAACGAATAATGAGCACATGTTTGTAAGGTTAGGGGCGGGTTTTTTTCGACAAAAATGAACGAAAATTAAGTTTACTGTGGATGTCTTCTTAGCATATTTTGTGAATTCTAACAAGCAATCTCGCCTATTCTACAATTGGAAAAATTCTGTCATTCGTTCATAAAAATACAATTCTTATTTTAGCATAAAAGGATAAAAATAATACTGTTCCTAAGTTCTCAATGTGCTCATTCGCACACATTAATTTACGCTTTTTGTGTAGTGATGTAACTTTTTCTCTCTGCTCTTATTATTTGTGACTTCTCTTAAGAATTGATAAACCTGAAAAAGTGTTGAAATTTTTATCATTGTTCCCAAGATTAGCTATGTTTATTACATTTGGTTCAAGGCTTTTATTGAATTAAATTAAGGGACAACTATTTTCGTATAAGAGTAGAGTTTCGAGACTAATTAAGTCATCGAGACTATGAATATAAAAATGAATTTGAATGGAGGCAGGAAAGCGCATCTGATGTTTTATCATTTCGCTTTTACCAAAGTTTGTTGTCATTCGGTGCTATACTATTTTGACTGAGTAAAAGAAACACAGCAAAAAGGTATTATTAGAGGGCTTGGGGATGACAACAACAATTGCAGATGCGAAGATTAACTGGGGTTGGAAGGATCTCTCACGATGACTTTGTTGCGGAGACTATCATTTCTTATTAAAGTGCATAGAGGGATTCATAAACCTGTTAGACGTCAGCTGATTCCCGTTGTACTATAGCCGTTTGGCCGATGGAAAGATTGAGAGAGAGAGATGTAACGAGAAGTACCGTCAAGTTTGAGAAGAGGACTTGAACCTAGTTTTACTACCACATTGCATTCTCAAAAATATAAGCATTTTAAGAGGTTTGCAATAGTTTGGTCACAAATGAAACACCTCATTAAGTGGACCAAGTTAGACCATAAGAAGTAAGTAAGTTTTTAGCTGGCCACTTATCTAATTGACTTTGGTCAATTATCGTTAAATATGGTGTCCTGCTCTAAAGATGTCCGTCAAACGACAGACAAGGACTCATTTAGGATTTATTGGAGTCGCAGAACGATGCCCCGAAGACCTAATCTTACAAATCTACGGTCACGGCTTCGGAGTAATTCTACAGCTTCTGGTGAGACTAACTTACGAATCCCCTCCATTCGCCTCTTCAAACGAAATAAAAGTTAATCCAGCCTCAATCTTAAATAAGAATTATAATCACCTTAAATCGGAAAAGGCGATGAAGTACTGATTTTTAAATTTTCTTAGTTTTGTTAAATAGACTTAGCGATACCTATGTGATTCACTTAGCATGTACTGGAATTATTAAGATAGAACATTTATGAGATAACTCAAGAAAAGGCAAGACGTTACAGGCCTGCCCACACAACATGTAAGGATTGACTAAATTGATTGCTCTTGCGTCTAGTGCAATGTAAACAGATGTATATTTATGAAACGAGAATAAAAATGATCCTACCAATTAATCTTGATATATTTAATACGAATTGATCAGGAATTGTCTAGTGAACTTTCTACAAATTATTTAATGATTTTATTCCTAAAGATTCTTATAATTTATCCTTAATTCGATGAATACTGTTTTTTTAATTTTTTTTATATCATAATAAAAAATATATTTCGTGTATTGACGATTTGCTAATTGTCACTGTATTAATCGTTGATCATGAGCCACAATATTTTGGTTTGTATTTAAGTTTCCCTTTCTTCTCCTTGGCCCTACCATTTCCTTACTTTTGACAATAGCTAAAATTGTATACTTTATTTTTTATCACTATTATCATAATACATATTAACAATATTTGTCTTTATCATTTTAATCAGGCAATGGCTCGTCTCTGTTCAGATGCGCGCCGTGAAGTTCGCTGCGACGCATTGGCCTATCTCCAGCGTTCTTTGCTCTCACCTATTTTGCATTGTCTATCTGGTTCTCATTGGGCTGATTGTTTCTCCTCCGTCCTTTTCCCTCTTCTCACAACTTTCCTTGAGACGATTGCATATGATGAGGCTTTCAAGGCTGCAATGGCCTCTAGACTAGCAGGCGCGATATCTGGTCATGCTTCCGACAACCTAGCTTATTCTGGTCCTGCTGCTGAGCACCGAAGTCCGTCTCCGCCTAACCACTTACCTAAGCAGTCTGGAAATAGCACAGTTCACTCTGCTGTCTCCTGGTGGGGATCTGCTTCGGGTTCATCTATTCCAACAACAGCTTCTGCCACTTTTGCTTTGACTGGACTATATGCCAACCCTTCTGGACGGTTGAACTTTCTACCCGGATCTTCGATTCCCTCGTCTGATAGCCTCCAATATCCAAGTCGGACCGCAAACCCAGCGGCAACTGCAGCTGCAGCCGCAGCAGCTGCAGCCTGCTCAGTTGTGGATGTCTCCGACCCGCGGATGCGGGCAATACCCTTGTTGACCAAGGTTTTTTTGCAGCATCTGAATCCTCTCCATCAACTAATCGAGTTTCCACAACTCTGGACACGTGTACTTGCTTATATGGAGTGCTTTATGCTAGTCAGCAGCTCAGATTCATTGGTATGACCATTCAAAGATAAAACTTTTATATACGTGGCATTTACTGAATGACTCTGAATTTGATTTTTATACGGTAGAGGGCTATACGGTATGGTGGATATATAAGAACAGCATAGATTACTTATCGTTCTCATGTGTATATATTTTACTGAGAAAGAGAAGGCTGGATTAGGCTCGAGTCTCGCTAGGTCTATCATACCCATGACGTGAGCATTAAATTCACTCTACCCCTTCAATTTCCGATGAGACCATTTTATTCATTCCTTCCATCCAACTTTTCATGTTACCATTAAATTTTCACTATTTAGTATGACTAATGTGACACTGGCTTCTATAATCTATTTTTCATATAGAATTCTTTTTAAGTTGATGGCTTGACATTGGTCAGCTAATTGTATTATCTTTTCAGTCTTTTCTTTAAAGGAGACTCGATTACCTATATTTATAGTTAGAAGAATTTAAGAGTATCCGTTGATCTTGAGTAAAAGCTGTAGTCATCCTAGGTTCCACAGGGTGATGAAGGGCTAATGGTTTCATTTTCCTCCACAATTATATGAATATGTCTTATTGGATTTCATTTAGCTGTGTCTCACATAAGGCATTTTCATCCAGGGTGGACTGCGGTCTTAATCTTGCATCTGCATGGGACTCGAACCTGAGTCGTGCAGGTAAACTTTTTGCCAAAACTACTATGCCAGTGAGTTGAGATTTTTAATAATTAATGAATAGTAATTTAACCTAGATCCTTAGGTCTTCTTAAAGGTTCTAACTCGATTTTACTTAAGGTGACTACAACTTTCCCTCGATCATTGTCCAAGATCTATTATTCTCAAGCAGCCAGCCAGGTTGCTCTGAAAAGCATCATCTTAAGGATTAATGGCGTTGAGATGACCCTGTAGTTGTCGTGTACAGATCAGAAAAATCATCACACCCTTCCTTTGCTCAGAAATATCTCTAATTTTCTACATTAGTTTGTATATTCCAGTACATCGTTAATGAGTTATTTAATATCCTAATCATATATTTTCGTGATTGTAATTGCTTGTTG